GGTGTCCCCAGGCCGTACCTTGTCCGTGCAGCGTTTGATGTGCTCGGAGGTGAAGTGGGGCAGCTGCTTCAGGTACGAGTCCTTGGACCACATGGCCTGAGTGACCATCTGGGCCAGCTCCATGGCAGCCAGAGCTGGGCTGAGCCACCCATTGCTGGACAGCACATCCACACAGGCCTGGATCAGCCGGATGGCCTGGACAGCGACAGGGATGGTCAGGGACAGGGACACAGGGACAGTCAGTGACAGGGACAGGGACACAGGGACACAGACAGGGATGGTCAGTGACAGGGACACAGACAGCCATTGCTGGACAGCACATCCACACAGGCCTGGATCAGCTGGATGGCCTGGACAGGGACAGGGACAGGGATGGGCAGGGACAGCAACAGGGACAGTCAGGGAGAGGGATGGGCAGGGACAGGGATGGTCAGTGATGGTCAGTGACAGTGACAGGGATGGTCAGTGATGGTCAGTGGCACAGACACGAACAGGCACAGGGATGGTCAGTGACAGGGATAGGGGTCAGTGACAATGGACAGGGATGGTCAGGGACAGTGACAGGGATAGGGGTCAGTGACAATGGACAGGGATGGGCAGGGACAGGGATGGTCAGGGATAGGGATAAGGGTCAGTGACAGGGATGGTCAGGGACAGTGACAGGGATAGGGGTCAGTGACAATGGACAGGGATGGGCAGGGACAGTCAGTGACACCCAGAGATGATCAGGGACACAGCCAGGGATGGCGACCACATGGGATGGACCCAGGCTGGAACAGCTCCCACAGAACTGATCCCATGTGATGGAATTCCTGGAGAACTGATCCCATGGGATGGAATTCCTACAGAACTGACCCCATGGGATGGAATTCCCACAGAACTGCCCCCATGGGATGGAATTCCTGGAGAGCCTCCCCACCCTGCCCCACTTTCCCTGGCCATAACCCCCCCCCACCCCCTCCAGTTCCACCCCATGATGGATATGGGATCCCTGCAGCCCCTGTCCCCAAGCCCCAGGCAGGATGTGGGGTCTGGTGCCACCTTGCTGAGGATCTCCTCGGTGTCTGACTGCAGCTCAGCGCTCAGCTGCATGCGGGACAGGTGGGCCTGCAGCAGCAGGTTGGTCTTGACGTGGGGGTCGTTGAATTTGGGGTTGGTCAGTTTGTGGGGAACCTTCTGGGACAGCTGTGGGGGGACGGGAAACCCTTCAGTGCTCAAGCCCCAGAGCGGGGCTGGAGCCCCAAAACCAGGAGGGAGAGAGGTTTGGGATTATGGAATGAACGGGGCTGGGGTTGTTGAGGGCTCATCCCATCCCAATCTCAATCCCAGTGATGCCATAAATCCCATCCCATCATCCCACTATCCCGTCCCATCCATCCCACTGATCCCATCAATCCCCTCCCCATCCCATCAATCCCATTGATCCCATTGCTCCCTTTGATCCTATTGATCCCAATCCCATCAATTCCATCCCATCCCATGAATCCCATCCATCCCATCATTCCCACTGATCCCAATGATCCCATTGATCCCACCCCAATCCCAGACCTTGGGCACCATGTTGTCCTCATGGTGCTGGATGGGGATGTTCCCAATGATCCCAATAATCCCACATTACCTGTCTGAGCAGGTTGTCCTCATGGTGCCGGATGGGGATGTTCCCATTGATCCCATTGATCCCACAGATCCCAATGATCCTATTGACCCCACAGATCCCATAAATCCCATTACCTGTCTGAGCAGGTTGTCCTTGTGGTGCCAGATGGGGATGTTCCCATTGATCCCATTGACCCCACAGATCCCATTGTTCCCACTGATCCCAATGATCCCATCGATCCCATTGATCCCACAGATCCCATAGATCCCACATTACCTGTCTGAGCAGGTTGTCCTCGTGGTGCCGGATGGGGATGTTCCCATGGATCCCATAGATCCCAATGATCCCAATAATCCCAATAATCCCACATTACCTGTCTGAGCAGGTTGTCCTCATGGTGCCGGATGGGGATGTTCCCATTGATCCCATAGATCCCAATGATCCCATAGATCCCCTCACCTGTCTGAGCAGGTTGTCCTCATGGTGCCGGATGGGGATGATCCCATGGATCCCATTGATCCCACAGACCCCACAGATCCCATAGATCCCCTCACCTGTCTGAGCAGGTTGTCCTCGTGGTGCCGGATGGGGATGTTCTCGTACTCGGCCGCGTTGGAGATGATCTCGAGCAGCCCCCGCACCTTGGTCTTGGCATTGAGAGACATGCTGAACAGTTCTGGGGGAAAACATGGAAAAATGGGCATTTGGGGGAGAAATACACAAAAATCAGGAATTTGGGGAGTAAACCCAAAACCAAGGATTTTCTGGAGGAAAAATCAACAAAACCAGGGATTTTTGGGGAAAATACCCCAAAATTGAGATTTTTTTTGGTGGGGGGAGAAACAGATTTTTTTGGGCAAAACACCCAAACCCAGGGATTTTTGTGGAAGAAAACCCTAACTAAAGAGATTTTTTGGGGGAGAAAAACCCAACTCCAGGGATTTTTGTAGGAGAAATCACCAAACCCAAGGATTTTTTGGGGGAGAAACACCCAACCCCAGGGATACTTCTGGGAAAACATCCCAAAATGGGGATTTTCTGGGGGAGAACATCCAAACCCAGGGATTATTTTTGGGGAAATCCCCAAACTGCAGAGAATTTTTTTGGGAACCCTCCAAAGCACAGGGATGTTTTTGGGTTCCCCCCAAGCCCAGGGATATTTTGGGAGCCCCAGGACAGGGATTTCTGGGAACCCCCCAAGCCCAGGGCTGTTTTTTGGGGAATCCCCAAAGCCCAGGG